TGGACATCCACACGTGGCCGGCGCCGGCCGGGGTGGCCGCGGTGCTGCTGATGCCGTAGCTGCCAGTGTAGGTGACCTGGCCGTGCGTGGCTGGGACCCCCGGGTGGCCATTGGGCGGCAGGTACTGGTCAAACTCGTTGACGTCGAAGGTCTCGATGTTGGAGATGACGTCGCTGCTCAGCTCCCCGATGTCCACGTCGCGGAAGTCGATGGGGGGCTGTCTGCCCCCCTCGGGCAGGGGGCGCCCCTCGCGCTTCAGGTCAGCCTTGCCCGGCTGCACGTCGGTTTTCGGGGTGGTGGGTGGGGTCGGCGGGCCCTGGGACTGCCCTGCAGGCGACAGAAGAGGGAGGCAAAAGGGAAGTTCAGCGAGCTCGGAGCCAAGGCCCCCTCAGGGGGTAGAGCGCGACCTGGGAGCCTCCCTCCCGCCCTAGGCGTCTGCCTGAGCGCCCGCCTGGGCGCGGGAAGCCCAGGGCCGGAGATAAGTCTCCGAATGGTTAACTCGCCAGTACTCTGCTTTTATCGGCCTCCTTTTATCAGGGGAGGCCCCGAGGCCCCCCCAGGGTCCGGAAGGCCAACTGTTACCTGTCCAGGAGGCCTGTGTGTGCTTTTGGGGTGGGGGAGCCCGAAGAAGAAGGGAGGGGTCTTGTAAATCTCTGCGGGCTTTTTACCTCGCCATAAAAACTAATCTGCGAGGAAGCAGAGGTTGAGTGTCTGTGCTTAGGGGCTTCCCGGGGCCCCAGCCAGGGAGGGCTGCGAGAGTCCGAGCAGGGGACACCGCTCGCTTCCCTCCCTGGAGCGTCCAGTCTCCGCGGGCCGCGGGGGGTGGAGGCCGGGGGTGTGTCCCGCAGCGCGGCCGAGGAGGACTCACCGGAATGCTCTCCCGGGGAGTGCACCTCGCTCATGCCGGAGGAGGAGTGAGGCGAGTCGGCCTGCAGCGCCTTGAAGATGGCGTTCGGGGAGATGTGCGTCTGCTCGGTGGCTTCCTCGGCCTCCGCCTGGCCGTTCTTGACCGACTTCCTCCTGCGCGGCTGGTACTTGTAATCGGGGTGGTCTTTCTTGTGCTGCACTCGCAGCCGCTCCGCCTCCTCCACGAAAGGCCGCTTCTCGCTCTCGTTCAGCAGTCTGCGGAGCGCGCGGGGCGCAGGGAGAGAAAGAGGGGAGGGTCGGTGAGAGCCGCTCGGGGGTCAGGGCGGCGGGAGGGGGAGGAGGCCCCGGTCCCGCGGCTACTGGGTGCACACCCCCTTCTCACTCCGCCCAGCTGCCCAGGCCAGCCTCAGCGCTCAACTTTTCTTTAAGAAAAAAGTAAATAAAAAATAATAAAGTATCTCGCTGCTTTCCGTTCATCCTGAGCGGTCACTCCCCGCCCCGCCTCTCCCCTTCTCGCCTGTTTTCTGGGACTCTCTGGCGAGGAAAACAGTTCTTCCCGCGCCTCCCGCTCCCAACGCCCGGGCTACCGGGCTAGTCACACCCTCCCCTCTGCCCCCCACCGCTCCCAACAGCCCTTTAAAATTGTCCCAAACTGCTCAATCTGCAACACACTCTGCTCCTCCCGCCCCAAGGCGTCTTCCCATCTATTCCTACCGGGCCGGAGGGTCACCTCCGGCCCGGGCTTCTCCCCCACATCGCACCCCACCTCTGCGCGCAGCTTGAGAGGGGCAGAGGTAAACTTCTCCCTCCCCCCCATCCTTGGGATTGAACTTCGCGGCGTCTGGCGGCCGGGTCAGCCGCCCCCTCCCACCGGGCCCCGTAGGCGACTGCTCGTCCCTAGCGATCCACGCCCCCCCCCCCTTCCAACCGCCCTCCTTTCCCGAGCGCAAGTCCAGAGCTTGGCCAAACTCCGAGTCCAGTTACACCGCGCCCCCACTCTCCCTGCCACCCCACCAGCTGCGGGCCCCGCAGCGCCCTGGCCTGGAGGAGGGCGAGAAAGCCGCCCCGGCCCGCGCCCGCCCCGTCGCGCCGGCCCCACCTCCAGAGCTTGCCCAGCGTCTTGCTGAGCTCGGCGTTGTGCAGGTGCGGGTACTGGTCGGCGAGCTTCCTGCGCGCCGCCTGCGCCCACACCATGAAGGCGTTCATGGGCCGCTTGACGTGCGGCTTGTTCTTGCTGGAGCCGTTGACGCGCACGGGCATGGGCACCAGCGTCCAGTCGTAGCCCTTGAGCACCTGGCTGACGGCCTCGCGGATGCACACGGGGAACTTGTCCTCCTCGCTCTCCTTCTTCAGGTCCGGCTCACCCTTGGGGAACGTGTTCTCCTGAGGCCGCGTGTTCTCGGTGTCCGAGCCGGAGCCCGAAGGGCAGGGCGAGCCCGCCGAGTCCTCGGACATGGTGGGGCTGGGGGCGCCGGACAGGCCCTTCTCCTGCTCGTCGGTCATCTTCATGAAGGGGTCCAGGAGATTCATACGCGGGCCCGGGACAGGGGGCGGGTGGCAGGGAAAGGCGAGCAGCCGCGGCGGCTCGGGGGCTCGAGGCGCGGGCTCCTCTCCCCTCGGCTGCCCGGACGCGGAGCGTGCAGCTCCCGGGGCGCTGGCGCGTCACTTGGCGGCGGCGGGGACTTAGGAAGGCGCGGGGTGGCCGGCCGGCAGCTGCCCGCTCCCAGTGGGGAAAGACGACGTGGAGAGGAGGAGGGGAAGAAAGAGCAAAAGCGGGGGGCGCTTGCACCCCTTCTCGTCTCCTCCTGCAAAGGAAAGTTCCTGGGGTGAAACTGGCAACGCGGCGCCACTGAAGTTTCCAGTCAGTTTCAAGCTCCGCTCTCGGCTCCTCGACTCCCAGCCCAGGGGTTCTTTAATAAATACCGCCCCCCCCTCGCCTCAGAGACACCCAGCCAACCGCAGGCATTTGGGGAGTTGGCAGGCAGCTGATTGGATCGGATGGGGGGGGGAGGAGGTTGGTGGCTCTGGGCTGGAAGACGCGAGGGGAGGGGAGGGGAGGGGAGCTCCGCTCGCCCCGCGGAGAAGGGGTGGGGTGGGGGGCGGCGGGCGCAGTGGGGAAGGCGGGGGACCTTGGACGTCCGAGTGTGTAAGTTTGCCTTACTCTCCTAGTGTCACAATTCTGGTGCCGTCTCCGCGCGAACTGTGTGTGTGTGTGTGTGTGTGTGTGCGTGCGCGCGCGCGCGCTCTAGGATCTGCTCCCACTCTCAGCATTTCATAAACTCTTTCTCGGCGGTGCCTGGGATTTAGCTAGAGAGTTCGCAGTATTAAAGAGCGATCTCTCCTTAATGCGTAGTCCAGTTTCTGTGCCTGGAGCCTGCCTCCTCCGAAAGGACTTAGAAATGGTCTCACGAAGCAAAGGCTTTTGGTGACTCAACGCCCGCTGTTGCTCTGTAATAATCCACATAAATAGATAGTTCGCCGGGGCCGGTGCGACTGGCTGGGATTCGGCTCCGCTCTCGAAAAGTCAATCAATGGGAAAACCAAAGCTAAGACCCCGGGAAGCTGGCGGCCGCGACCGAGCCCCGCGCTCGCGGGAACGGTCCCGCGCCCCGCCGACCTTGACCTCTGACAAGTCATTCTGAGCCTCCCTCACCCCAGGCCTCTAGCCGACTCCGTTCCCTCAGCGACCCGGCAACTATTCTGGCGCTCTACTCTTTACCTCCCTGCTGAGTCAAAGCGGCAGCCGAATTGCCACTGGAGGAGTTTGCAAAGTGCTCGGCTCCGTAGAGACCGAACTCTGCAAAGGTGCTGGCCCCGGCCGCCCGCGGAGCCCGGCCGCTGCGTCTGTGAAAGGCTGAACAGCGCAGGGTCGCGCAGCTGCCCGCAGTCGCCCTTCTTCACAAAGCTCCCCGGAGGGGCGAGCTTCTGCTCCCCGGACTTGGGTCGGGTTTTTTCTGACTAGTACACTGTTGGGAGTTTCAAGGGAGGGAGCGGGGGTGTCCCTGATGCTTCTCAAAAGGGATCTGAGTACAATCTTTGTGTCTGCACGAATTGCTTAGAGCCGGGTTAGGTATCTGCTCTGGGAGAGAAAAATCTGAGTCGCCTGCAGGTTTCTTGTCTCCAGAATCACACATATATTATGCACCACTGTGGAAAAGTCTTAATTTTTTTTCACCTCTCACCCCCTTGCAAATGTACACCTCGAATTAAAATTGCCATGAATCTGTCTGCGTCATGTCAAAGGCTTGTGTATTTCTCCTATGGAAACTGTGCACATTATTTACAAGGTATAAATGAATGTTTGCCTTGAAGAATTTTTAAATTCTGGTTTGCTCTAGTTTTCTTCTGAAGAAATGGACATTTCTTAAAATGACCGAACTCTTGAGAAGGTAATAAGTTACAACCCCGTTAAACAGTATTTAGTTTTTTAAAACAATGCAAGCCACTCACCTTGAATGTCTCTTAAAACTAATGGCTTGTTTAGGAGTTTGAGACCTCCAGCGATAGCCTCGTAGTCATCCATAGCTTCGAGAATACTCGGCAAGTTTATAATAACTAAGTGCTTTCTTGGGAGAGAAATGTCCTACTTAGTGTGGGCTGATGTCTGTCATCTCTGGGGAGATGTTTGTGAGCACAGTTGTGTGATTTGAAGACACCTGATCCAGAAGGACGCTCAAGCACGATTTTTAACCAGGCTGTCTATATGTAGTTGTCTGGAATATTTCACAAAGTATTTTTCAAGATTTTAGGCTTCCCTATATAAATATACTTGAAAAGCAGATACGCAGTGGGAGATACGTAATGTGTAATATTTTAATTCACAAATGCCGGAGCGCTATACATTTTCTAGTGGTTGGGTGCAAGCTTTTTATATTCCTGTATCTTTTTGAAAATTTAGAATAAACAGTTGACTTTAAAAATGCTGCGATTTCCAGCTGCATCCAGAGGGGGCGCCAAAAGCCCAGAAACTGTCTAAGAGAAACTGCAGGAAAACTTGGATGGTGGGGGTGGGGGTGGCGCGTTCCGCTCAACCTGGACTGCTTTGCCGCTGAGATTTATCTCTGTAGGAATTCCTGTGTGATAGTCCCAGAGGCGCGGATCCACCTCTGGGGCAGCTCAGTTAGGGAAACTTGGGAGATGTGTGTCTATATGGGACCGGACCAAATGAATACATTTGCGCTTAAGATGTCCCAGACTATTCTACACAGAACCCAGAGACCAAGAACCCGAGAAGAACCCACCCCCACTCCCTCCCGAGTGGCAAGCGCCGTCTTGTGCTTGGCGTGCCAGGACCTGGCCAAGTCTGACGCGTGGGCACCATCGATTAGCCTGGGGGCGGTCTTGAGTTTCTGCAGGAGCCTCGAATGCCAACCCCTCCGCCCCCCATTTCACGAAGTTCCCTCCACGTGACTCCCCCGGGTAGCGCTTCACCTCTCCCCCCTGTCCTGACCTGGCGCTGGTAGTCTCCGACCAAAGGACCCCAGTGGGAGAGAGCCCAAGGGGAAGGAGCGGGTTCCCAGGGTCCGGGTTGCAGGTCGGGAAACTGAGGCTCTCCACCGGGTCTTAGCCTGAGCGTTCTGTTCCAAGCGAAACGCGCCAGGATGCTCAGCCCGGCGCGCACTAGGGAGCAAAATCTCGCAGGGCAGAGGGGTGGGGGTGGGGCCAAGCAAGGGACCACACTTCAAGTGTAGGCGACGCGCTTTGGGGTCCCCGCTCCAGCGCACGCGCCGCCAGGCCTGCCGCTGCTAACGGAGACGCGGAGGTGTGAGCGGATCCCGAGGGGTGGGCGCGCGGGAAGCCGAGGTCTGGGACTCCCCGCACCCCCACCTTCTCTCTCTTTTGGCGCCCAGGGTCGGCGCCAGGCTCAATTTCCCCTGCCAGGGCCGCCAGTTTCCCCGCGTCTACGCGGGAGCGCACGCAGGCAGGAGCCGCGAGTCCTGGGAATCGCGGCGAGTTTCGCCCCCTCTGCGCGGCCCCGCAAACGCGCTCTGTCGGCTGGGTGCGGGGAAGTTTCAGGGCCGGGAAGAAGGTAGGCGGGATGGACAGAGGCGCTCCTCTCACCGGGAGCTTGTAGGGCTGCAGCCTCCCTCTCCAAAATCCTTAGCAAAATTGGGGACCGGTCTTGGATCCGTGTTCAGCGCGTCCTAGACGGATTTCGTTGGGGTGACCAGCGGCGTCTCCCCAAGACCTCAATCCTGGGGAGCGTTTTCTACAGAGATGATCTGGAAGAGGGCTACCCCCTCTGCCTTTTCCCGGGATCTGGTTCCCTTGCAGTAAAAGCCCCTAGGCTCTAGCGGGACCCTCAGGCCCTGGCGCCCTGGGCTGTCAGCCACCTCCAGTAATTAGCTTCTTTCACCGGGCGTGGGGCATGTTTCGCTTTTTTTTTTTTTGCCCGGCACCGATTGCCCGGCACCGATTCCCTGTGGAAAGGAGCGGCTGAGAGTCTCCAGGCTGGACAGCAGCAGCCAAAGGGGAAGGAGAGGACCAGGTAACTTAGTCGGTGCCGGGTAAATACCTGTTCACCTAGGAAATAGATGTGGCCTTGGCACCTTTCATCTGTGTGCGGCAGCTCCCAGCGGGCTCCTTGGTGGTGGCAGTGTCCCTAACACACGTGAAGGACTGTTTCTACCTGTGAATTTCTCCCCAAACGGGAGAACAGCCTCCTGTGTCCCCAGGACAGAGTATTCCCCGTGATTCAACTGCAGGCCTGGGGGAGTGGGGGTGGGGTGAGTGTCCTTTGAGTTTTCTCCCCTTTTCTGTTTTCCAAAAGGAGAGATGAGAAGGAGGCTGGCAGGTGTCAGGTGAGAGGACATGAAGTCTCTGTCCATCCGCTGGCCGCAGGGTGACACAGTCAGGTCGTGGGATTGGGGTGACCATGACCCACAGGGCACACTGGGGTGCAGACCAGAGCCAAAGCCAGGGACTGGCTGTCCTTGTGGGAGTAGGAAGGAAAGTCCCGATGAGACTGCTTTAAAAAACAAAACAAAACAAAACAAAAAAAACACGCCTTTCTCGAAAATACCTGTTTTTAGTGAGGTGTAAGGAGATGCCTGCCTATCATTTGAGTTTCCTCAACTCATCCCTAGAACAACCCCCTGCAGGAAATCTCCTAGGCCAAGTTCCGCCCCTTCCCTACTTTTGTCTTTTAAAAATCTTTCAGGCATTTCCAGCTGAAGGTGTGTTTGCCTTGCTGATCTAAAAGTACAAATGAAAAAAAAAGTACAAACACAAACGAAGTAAGCTTTCAAGGCCACAGCGCCTCCTTGGAGGGCCTCTGCGGACCAGGGAAGCCCAACAGCCTGGCGGGAACTTCCTCTGCTGCCAGCCCTGGCATCTGCCTGGGCTGTTCTGTTCCAGCCCTTTTGCTTTGGGTGTTCAGTCCCAAGGAGGCCAGCAGAAAGCAGCTGAGATTCTGGGTCGCTTTTGTTTGCTTCCCCAGGGGAGGTGAGGGCTAGAGCATTGCCTCACATCAGCCCAAGTGGCTCTGGGCAGCTGTCCCCTCTAAGATGTCATTGGGTGGGTGATTATTTCTGATTTTAACAAATGGAGAAACATCTTTGTCAAACCAGGGAAAAGGGACAAATACTATTAATATACAGCCCCAAAGGCAAACTGTCTTGTCTCTGGAACTCACGTTCTATCTCAGCAGGACTAAGGACCTCCAACCCCACCCCCTAAAGGGGCATTTCCCTGGTTCTTGAACCCATAGACTGCAGGAGTTGTGGGGGGCCAAACCCTGGTATCCTTTGGGTTGCATCTTGGGGCTCTTTGGAGCAGCACGGAGCCCCCCAGTGCTCTGCCTTCTGCCCAGGAAGGACAAGTACATGACCTTAGCCCACCACCTTCCACTTTCTTCTAGAATGACTTC